TGCATGCACTCACCAGCTGAGTATTTTTAATATTTTCTCCAAAAGCTACACGCAGATATCCACCTTTTAGTCCAACATTATGCACAGTTTTTTTAATTTATTTATTTATTTAACCTTTGTTTCTTTTGTATATTTCAGATTAAACCTGTTTATAACAGAAGAACAGTCAGGTGGGGAGGAGGACAGCTGTAATCTGTCTTCAGTTCATCTCAGACCTCTAGAGGAAACTCTGAACCACTGAAGAGTCCTCTGGATCAGTCTGAACTTTTCTTCAGAGTAACACTGATTCTTAGACTGAATAATTTTAATAACTGGTACTTACACTTAAGTCTGAGAGTTGGAGCAAATCTAAGACATTTTCAGCTCTTAAGTCTAAAAATCCACTCTAAGAAGTTTGATAAATTTGGACCCTGGTTTGTAACAAGACAGAAAATGGCAGTTAGACTAAAGGTGGTGTCAGTAAGAGGAACATTCATGAAACAAAAATGTCAGGACATATCAGAGACTGACGACTATTCTGATTTTAAAAAGAAACTGAAACAAACCAGTTATTTTCAAATGTTTAACTGTATAATTTATAGCTTATAGTAATAGTTACAGTTACCAATATAATAGTTTAAAACTTATGTGATTTTGTATTGCCAGTTTTATTGTTATATTTGTTTATGTGCCTTTTAAATTATGTTGTCATTTCTTTTATCTGCCTCAGGACAACTGATTCAACTTGAGCTATTTTATTGCTGTGATACAGGAACACTGATGAATGTGCACTGTCCTTTTAATGTCATAAAAATGATTTAATTTCCCTTCAGGATTATTATAGTATTTTTGAACTGAACTGAATAACATTTAATTTGCAACAATCAGAGCTGAAATAGATTCTTACAGGAGTAAACTCCAGATTAGCATTGTGGTTGGACACGTGGTTCAGCATGTCTGCCATGGGAACCATCAATGGAGGACTGGAGGCCTTCTTATCTTCCTCATCATCTTCTTCCTTTGGCTCCTGGAAGCTACAGGAAGGACAACAGAGAGGGTTACAAAAGAATACAAATAGAAGCCATTTAAAACATGCATGCTGACCTGTAGGCCATGACAAAGGCCACCAGGTGTGTGTACAGCTCCAGTGTGTGTGTTTCAGGGTTCCATAGGTCAGGATGTCTGACCATAAAAGGTAGGACTATTTCTGTATACTCCTGGTGGATGTTGGAAAGGTCCATGTCCACGGCCTCTGGGATACCTGTTCCTCTCAGTTGTCTGTCTCGCTCTTCTTTAGACCTGAAGGTGAAACATTAAATCATAAAAAAGCTTTCAAAAGTGGCAGCAGATTTTTCAGATGGGATATCAGACCTACCAGAACATGGGATGATCTAGCTTTGAGAAGTCAGACCACAGAGACAGGTATGGTTTCCAGTGGGACTGTGAAGAAGTATATTCATACAGCAGAGCCAGCAGCAGAGGAACCCAGCCAGAGGAGCTTTCCAGGGATGAGCTCTCTGTGGAAAATAAGATCAGCTGTAAGGAAGTGATGCAATCACGCGGTCCTGAAAACGGCTTCAGAACGGTCACCTTTTCTCAACACTGAGGAAACTTTTGTAGTTCCTTGGTGGAGAAGAGCAGACCTGGGGATTGTGAATAAAACTTCTCCTTCTGCTATGTTGTCTTTGGCCAGCATCCCATAATCTGCTACAGTTTCCTCTTTACTCACGTACACCTGCAGAAAAACATTCATTTCATTAAATGTAGAAGGGGAAACCTTCAGAAAAATATGTCCAAACCATCCAGTAACTTTTCAAATACAACATATTTTTGTATAATCAGGTTTACTCTGATGTTGCACCGCTGTCTTGTGGGGTACCCCAAGGTTCAGTTTTGGGTCCAATCCTCTTTTTATTGTACCTGTATCCTTTAGGAGGTATTTTAAAATGTTACAGTAACGTGTCCTACCATCTGTATGCTGATGATAGTTCTGTTCATTTCAAACCTCTGAGTTCTACAAACTGTCTGAACTCGTTAACGATCAGAAACCAAAACTGCGGTTGAACAACTACCTGCAGTTAAATGCAAGCCTCTCTGCACTGGTTCCTGTGCATTTGAGGAGTCATTTCAAAATTTTGTTTTTAACCTTCAGAGCACTTCATGGTCAGGCCCCCAAATACATATTGGACCTTCTGAAGCCTCTCTGTCCATCCAGGACTTTGAGGTCTGTAAGACCTCATTTTATAATAATAGCGCATTATGTAATAATGTAATAAAATCAGGCTTCAAAATGTAATAAACTCACACTAAAACTGCATTGTATAATAATTGACACAAAATGTAATAAAAGTCTTTAACACTTATGTAATAACTTTATTACACTTTGCAGCAATTATTACAAAATGTGGTGATGTAATAATCTGGTGCATTATGTAATAAACAATCAAAAACCAGTATTTCTGTTCATCCTAATCAATATACTTGTAATAACTGTCATGTTGCAAATATTGCATAATTAAATCTTTATAACTTTGGTCAATAAACACTGAACTTCTCATCTTTTATTTGCATTTTTAGATTTACTGTCCTGATCCCTGTTACAGAAATTATTACACTTTGTAGACAACTCTGAAAATATATCTAAAAGTTAGTTGTACATGTCAACCCCTTCAGATGTTTACCTGTATAATGAGCCTTAAAAATCTGTAATTTTCATTAAAAAATCTGTATTAATCACACGTGGGGGGTGATGCATGTCTGTCGGCTTCTGTATCAGAAGGAAATGAGTGTTGAAGAAATTGTTTCTAACAACAGAGTGGGCTGGAAGTGGATATTTGATGTTAATATTTGTTTTTAACGTCCTATAGGCTCTGACATGTTGAATAAATTAGAAACTGTTTTTAAAAGATTCCATAAAACATGAAAAAATCCTTGAGATTGCTCTGTACATCCATATAGACAAGAATTTGACTGAAAATGCAAATAAAAGATGAGAAGTTCAATGTTTATTGACCAAAGTCATAAAGATTTAATTATGCAATATTTGCAACATGACAGTTATTACAAGTATATTGATTAGGATGAACAGAAATAGTTGTTTTTGATTGTTTATTACATAATGCACTAAATTATTACACCACCACATTCAATAACAAATGCCACAAAATGTAATAGCATTGTTACATAATGCGGCTGAGAGTATTACAAAATGTGTTGAAGACTTTTATTACATTTTGCGTCAGTTACTACAAAATGTGGTTTTAGCGTGAGTTTATTACATTTTGAGGCCTGATTTTATTACGTTATTACATAATGTGTTGTTATTACAAAATGAGGTCTTACAAGGTCTTCACATCAAATGCTGTTGGTGGTACCTCAAACCCATTATAAAACCAGTGGAGACAAGGCTGTTCAGGTAGTGGCCCCGAGGCTCTGGAACACTACTGTCCCTTCATTACTCAGATTCAGCTGACTCTGGCTAAAAATATCTTAAGACACTTTTATTCACAGGCTTTTAGTAAAGTGCTGTTTACTGTGTTTTAATTATTCTTCATTATATTTGTGATCTGTTTTTTATTGTTTTTAGTTATTTTGCTCTCTGTTAAGCACTTTGTGATGTTTGTGTCTGTGAAAGGTGCTATATAAATAAAGTTTACTTACTTATAAAGACAAAATGTTTCAGTGGCCAAGGATGGTTGGTTTTAAATTCTTCCCTGAAAATTGGTTTCTATGTTACATAGAGGCCTTTACATTCAGACGGGTATCAGCTCAAACTTGGAATTCCGAAGTCTGAAGTCATTCTTTAACTTCAAATATCAATTTAAAAGTGACAAAACTTGGATTGTAAAAAAATACCTTCTTATTAAGAAGCACACCAACTGCATCACACCACTGAAGAAAGTCCTGGAGAACCTCAGAACCATCATCCACCTGCAAACAGAACCATCGTACAAACAGATCCAACGTACAAACAGAACCATTGTACAAACAGATCCATCGTACAAACACAACCATCGTACAAACAGATCCAACATACAAACAGAACCATTGTACAAACACAACCATCGTACAAACAGATCCAACGTACAAACAGAACCATTGTACAAACACAACCATCGTACAAAGAGATCCAACGTACAAACAGATCCATCGTACAAACACAACCATCATACAAACAGATCCATCGTACAAACAGATCCAACGTACAAACACAACCATTGTACAAACAGAACCATCGTACAAACAGATCCATCGTACAAACACAACCATCGTACAAACAGATCCATCGTACAAACAGATCCATCGTACAAACAGAACCATCGTACAAACAGATCCATCGTACAAACACAACCATCGTACAAACAGATCCAACGTACAAACAGATCCATCGTACAAACACAACCATCGTACAAACAGATCCATCGTACAAACAGAACCATTGTACAAACATCCATTGTACAAACACAACCATCGTACAAACAGATCCAACATACAAACAGAACCATCGTACAAACAGATCCATCGTACAAACACAACCATCGTACAAACACAACCATTGTACAAACAGTTCCAATGTACAAACACAACCATCGTACAAACACAACCATCTTACAGACAGAACCATCATACAAACACAACCATCGTACAAACAGATCCATCGTACAAACAGAACCATCGTACAAACAGATCCATCGTACAAACAGAACCATTGTACAAACACAACCATCGTACAAACACAACCATCGTACAAACAGTTCCAATGTACAAACACAACCATCGTACAAAAAGAACCATCATACAGACAGAACCATCATACAGACAGAACGAACAGAACCATCATACAGACAGAACCATCATACAGACAGAACCATCATACAGACAGAACCATCATACAGACAGAACCATCATACAGACAGAACCATCATACAGACAGAACCATCATACAGACAGAACCATCATACAGACAGAACCAACATACAGACAGAACCATCATACAGACAGAACCATCATGCAGACAGAACCAACAGAACCATCATACAGACAGAACCAACAGAACCCATCATACAGACAGAACCATCATACAGACAGAACCATCATGCAGACAGAACCATCATACAGACAGAACCATCATGCAGACAGAACCATCATACAGACAGAACCATCATGCAGACAGAACCATCAGAACCATCATACAGACAGAACCAACAGAACCCATCATACAGACAGAACCATCATACAGACAGAACCAACAGAACCATCATACAGACAGAACCATCATACAGACAGAACCAACAGAACCATCATACAGACAGAACCAACAGAACCATCATACAGACAGAACCATCATACAGACAGAACCAACATACAGACAGAACCAACTGAACCATCATACAGAC